GTATTCGTGACCTGTGGCCACCCGCTGTTTAATTGTTTACTGGCTTTAGGCTGGATTAAGAAGTTAGTCGACATAAATTTACTCGACGGGCTTAGTCGAGTTGTGGCCTTCATCTCACCATACTTGAGCGGTCATACTCAAACTTATGGTGAGATCTTCTAGCTCATCCACTAAAATTATCTCGCCATAGTTGGATATGAACGGGCTACTATCTGCATTGCTTCTCTTCACCCAGGAATATAATGAGAACCTGATGGGGTTGCCTGCTCCTCCGCTGATTCCCAGTAGCAACACTTAAAGCATGTGGACCCAATGACCAGGGAAAAGAACTGTGCTTTTATTACTAAATCTTACGTAGTCGATTGTTTCAGATTAATGTAATCAGGAGCTGGGTCTGGTACAGTGGTCATCATTTCTAGATCTTGTTTGTTCTCTTTACGTTGAGGGTTCTGCAGTGAGCTGTAGTTAGCTTCTTCTGTAGGCTTCAGATCCTCATATGTTTCAAAACTCCTGTTATCAGTCGATTGTTTGACATTAATGTAGTCAGGTGTTTGATCTTGTACACCAGTGGTTGTTATTTCCATCCCTTTATTCGCTTTCTTGCGTTGGCGCAACTTTCCTATAACAGCTGTTTGAGTGACAACAATTGCGACAAGAACTGCTATGATGACAGATAGGACAACAATTGTGGTAGATGATTGACACATGCTGGTCTCCACATCAAGAAGCATCTTTGGTGAACTTTCCTCTTCATCTTTGTCAGTCCGAACAATAACAGTGCTAGGTATTTGTGATGCATCAGAGTTGGTAGGGGAACATCCTTCTGCATTTGTTTGTTCAGTTGTTAAATTGCAGCTTTGTATTCCGTTCGTACAAGAAAAGTTACTTTTTAAGTCATCTGCTTCAAGAATGAATGTATAATTCAAGTATATGTAAGAATGAATTGTGACTGGCTTTTGGTTTTCAATTGCTTCTCCATCCCTTGACCATTGTAGTTGGACTGGTGGATTACCAACTTCAGAGTAACAAGAGATAGTGACATTTGAACCAATCAATTCAGATGAAAATCTGCATGATTCACAGATTGGATACAAAGATGATGGAGAATAGTGAGCTACCAGGATGAGACCACATGATACTAGCACTGCCTCACCTGTGCTCTTAAGAGCTACTTCACAGGTGTAATTGTTACCATTAAGAAGATGACCAAGATCACGATCTTTCACCTGTCTTATTCTTACATCAATTTCATTGCGGAGTCCGTAAGCTTCTGCCTCTCTTCCTAGGTCATTATTTATCAGCATACCATCCCTGTAAATAATTGTCCTACCACCAGTTATTGTTTCTCTATACCAAGAGATTGAGTAGTCATCAGTCAGGTTCTTCACTTGACAGTAAAGGTCAGCAACAGCTCCTTCAGATATTATAGCAGATCCAATAGAAACACTACCAAATGATGGAGTGCCCTGTGCAGGAAGAACCAGGGCTAAGCATAAGAATCCAATACTGTACAGCATATCCAACTTGTGTAAAATCAGTGAAAACTGAAATTCTGCATGCTTATATTTTAGAATTTTTGAAGTAGAAGTCATTTTTCCAAAGCTTATCACCATGTCAGTTACTGTGCCAAGAGTGTTTTGGTATGGGGTTTTATAAAAGGTATATATTTTATAATAGCATTCGTATAATTAAAATGTGAATGCTTGTTTCCTGTTTCTTCAAATTTTAGATGCATAGTTGGTTTTACTTTTGTTGGTAGTATTTGTTTTGTACCTATGACTCATCATTAACTATTTATCATTATAACAGCCTTTCTTCTATTTTACACAAGTCCTTTACATGAATAGATGCACCCATCAATCCTGAAAACTGAAAACAAAATGAATGTGAAGTTCTTTAAATTATGTACAGTAGGTTAAAAATATGATTAAGAATCACTCTAGTTGAGTGGTAATTAATTACAAATCTATGTGATTAATTTATCCATTAATTTCTTATAATAATTTTTTATTAATGTATTCACTTTGGTTTGTTAAAATTACTCTGAATCTGCTTTTAGAATATTCTATGATGTCCTCATATTTGCCATCTTATTTTAATTAAATTTTCTTAAATTTGTGTGTATATAATAATAATAATAATAATAATAATAATAATGTTATATTTATATAGTGCATATTGCACATTATATTGCCCCAATGCGCTTTACACAGAAATTGTGTAGGGCACCAAGAAAATAAAAATAACAATAAAATAGTAATTAAATAATAATAAAAAATAATAATCTTAATAACATTAATAACAATGAGGCTAAACGACTCCTATTCTTTAAACTAATTAATAGTTGGCCGTTGACTCCAAGGAGCTCATCTGCCCTTTGTTTAGCTATTGGTTTGTTTTGCTGCTGGGTGACCATAAACACCCTCCTTTCAGCAGCCACTAAGACACATCTGAGAGGGTTGTCAGTTTAGTCGCCGACGCTTCGACCGGATGTAGTTTAATGTCATACCCAAGATGTTCCCAACTACCTTAAGCTTAACTACTCTTAAATACTGTACAGCTGCATATTTGATGTGTAGTGTGATGTTATTCCAGTTGGTTAGAGAAGCAACCGAAAAAGCACAATTGCCATATACCTTTGTGAATGTTTTAGGAGTATGAAGAAGCCCTTAGTGCTATAACATAATGTTTGCTTGGTAGAGTGACCTTGTATTAAGCCTATGATGTAATGTGGTGTGTTGTTATGCCTGAACTTAATTGTAATTAAAAGAATCTTGAAAATTATTCGTTGATGAACCAACAGAGTGCATAAAGAATTGGGGTTATGTGCTCATGGCGTCTGGTTTTTGTAACCAGTCTTGCTGCCGTGTTGAAGCTTGTTAATTTAAAATTTTGGAAGACCATACAAGAGACTGTTAACTTACAATAGTCAAAACGTTAGGTTGCAAAAGCATGAATTGTTTTGTTGTTGCTTGATCCAGGTACTTCTTGATACAGCTTATTTCACAAAATGCCCTAAAGCCAATTTTCCACTAGGCAAATGTGCAACCAATCAGAGCTCAGGAAGCGAGCTGACGCTTTGATTCGTGCGAATAAATTCGCTTAGTGGAAAACCAGCTTAAGGGAAGACTGACAAATTGAGTTCACTGGTTCCCTCAATTAGACTTTTATTTGTTTTACCACCATTCACTATATTTATTCATAAATAAGAAATAAGAAATTCATTGGTCTTGATAGATAAGTTTCCTGGAATAGGTTTTTCTGTAAAATACTGAGCTGCTTATGTTTTTCATTTTTCACAGAATTCATATCCTTATTGCTTATTTAATTGCATTTTACTCCCTTCATTTTGCCTTCAGAAAACATCAAATTCATGGACACAAAAAAATACAAGGACAAAAATACATACAAAAAGACAGCAACATGTATCATGAAATATAATAGAATAAATAGAATATGAGAGCAGCTTAGCTCAGTCTGCTAATCTGGTGGTAGCCACTGTGTGTGCACTGAACTGTGGAGACCTCTAGGTCCCCGGTTCAATTCCCATCGCTGCCTCTCCTTGTGTTTCAGCTGCAGCTGGAGGGCTGAAACACAAGTTATAATAGTGCACCGTCTTTCTGATTAGACATTTAAGCCGATGGTCCTGTGTGCATTATGGCCCACGTGCATGTTAAAGAACGCAGTGCACTCTTCGGAAAAGAGTAGGGGATTGTCTCCTGGTGTACTGCCCAATCACCACCAGAAGGACCCCACTGGAAATAAGTCTTCTTCTAGACTTCCGTGGGCTATCCTTGGTGTTTGCACCAAATAAATCCAATCCAATCCAACTCCAAATTAAGTAATTAGAATTTATTAAAAACTATACAGTGATTGTTTATCAAGAGAAGAAAATATAAAACGCAATTTTATATAGAGAAAGATTGATGATTAAATATTGAACGAAATAATGGCATCTAAGGATTCTATTTCAAGTCGCCACCTTACTTTGACATAATTGCTCATATGTCACCATGTTATCTCATCTACCCTAGATCCAGGCCTTTCTTGATCTGTTCTAAGGCCATGCTTTATTCATGTTCTCTAACCCCCCCTTTTTGCACACAATCAGCAAAAAAGATCAAACAAAAAACTACTGCTCACTAAAAAATTACGTTAAATTTTAAAATAATATCATCACATTTGATTTACAAATATTCTATTTTATAGATGTTGCTGAAATTGACAGAATGTGTGAGTTATGTGATCAGCTATTCATTGCGTTATTAGACGCCAACATGTTGGGTAAGACGGCCGTCCGAAGGAGTCAAACGCTGAAGACTGTCTACAAATTAATTGACCTCGGCTCCGCTACACTTTCACTGAAAGCTGCACGAATTGTTTTAGCAGTAAGTAAAATTATATAGTGACAGTATTATGGTTTATTGGTTTACTTATTTTCTGATATTACTTTATAAATTATCTTTTAGTTTAGGCTGCTTTAATTAAGTAATGTAGTTGATTGTAAATATTTGTGGCAAAGACAAGTCTCAGATATTCTGCTTTAAACAGTAGTTTAAATGCTTCGAACTTCATAACAAAATGTCTGATTTAAATGATACTTTTACCATTTTATAGCTCTCATTTTATTGTTTAACTCTGTATTAATAACTAAAAGATGAGTGACTGGTTTGGCTTGTCTTTGCCACATTTTAGTTATATCTTTTACTTAATTATTATATATGCCAGTCTACAAAGAGTCAGTACCAGATTTTTAGGCTCGTTTAATTAATACAACTGATTGTATAACTGATATTTGTTTATTTATTATAAATATTGTCTTTTTTAATTGCAAATACCTAATGTGTCCAGCTGTTACAATAATTTTATCCAATAAATAATATTTTATTGTAATGATTTTGTTAATTATTGATATGGTTGTGAAGTGTAATTTCTTTTTCTTTCTGTAGTTTGAAGTTACTGGTTCAAATTTGATAACGTTGTGCAAACTCATCTTTAAGATAAGCAAGAATAAAGATAATGATGCTCTTTTCCAGGAAAACAAAATACTAGGTGAGTAAAGGGAGAAGAATACCCTATAACTCGCAGCGTCATTGTTTTGAATCGTGTATGAGCGTGGTCTGTGACAGCCGTGCAGCCGTAAAGAGGCGCTAAGTTCACATCATTCTACAACATTACCTGAAATGAACCATAGCATCTGGGTAAACAACCCCCGCCCCCCCCATTCTTCCGAAAGATGCATTAGGTTCATGAGCCAGACGTTTACTACTGGACCTCCTGTTTTGAGTCCTTATCCTTGAACTAAACCCTTAGCTAGCCAATTAATATAGTTATTGATTGATGACAATACAGTAGTAAAAAGTTCAAATTAATTCCACTAACATAGTCTTAAATTCATATTGAGTATTGTGGGAACAGTATTGAATCAATGATTTTTTTTTTGTATAGAACTGATGGTAAAGCTGATAGCAACAACTGACCACCAAAAAGCGTCGGAGGCGTTGGTCTACTGCATTGGCGCCCTCAAGTTTTTAACAGGGAACAATACTGTTCTCAAAGATCTTGCAGACTATGGATGTACAGAGGCACTGGCTAGACTGCTTATCAATATCAATACAGCTGTAAGTCTAATAATAGTCTCTTTGACAAAAAACTGTTTTATGCCCATATATAGTTATGATGTGCCTATATATGTTCATGATGTGATGTCATCATGACCATATTTAGACATGCCATGTTTTTTGTCAAGTAAAATTTCTTTATGTTCATAAAAAGCTTTAGGTTGACATATTCTTATGAATATTAAATCTGATGATGATAGTGGAGTTAGCGTTGTGATAATATTAATGATGATGATATTGGTTATGATAGATAATGATGATGATAGTGATCGTGATGATGCAGGATTGGCGGTAGGGTGTGTGTGAGAGTCCACACCACCTCAGCTCCACCATGGTTGGGGTTAAGAGTAGAACAGTTTGAGAATATGGACCTCTATCTGCCTAGAAGTTGCACTCTCAGTTTCTCATACCTTACAAATCTTACAGGTACTATGTTCATATTAACAATACAATACAACAATTGTTTTCTTAATACAATATAGGAGGGTGCAACTGCACCATTTGCACCCCTTGCATCTGCCTCAGTGGTGATAAAGTGGTGATAATGATGCTTAATATCATACATGATGGTGATGATTGTGATGATTATATTGATTTCATAATAGATGTTAGAATGGTCTTGTTATTTGGTCTTTAAATTATAATTTTTGTTTATATGAATATGGATAAAGTATTACATTTATTAAACTGTATGTTGACTCTATAAATGACTTAAAGTGGATGATCTAAACAAATTTTATTTAATATTTGTTTTGGTTTGTTTTGTAGATTATGGATGGGTCACACACAGGACAAGGTGTGCCGAACCTTTTACTTCAAGTGACTGGTACCTTGCGCAATCTAGCGGATAAAAGCGCCACTCGCGCCACGTTCATATCTTGTCAAATTATTGCAGAACTGTGCAAAGTTATCGACGCATTTCCAACGGATGGAGATCTTATGTTTAATATATCAAGAATTTTTAGGTAAATATGTGTTATTTTGAAAGAATCCAGAATATGTCTGTAACCTGTTGTACAGCTTATATGTTATGCTGTCTGTGTTGCAATAAAAATACATGAAAAATAAAATTCATTATTTATGTTGATCAGTTACTCTTATGTTGTATTGGTTGTTACATTTTAATCAAAACTTAAAATGAAAAAATATAATTTCTTTTTACAGACAAAAGTTTATAAAATAGCAAACTGAATTGTTTTTAATAATCTTTCATTTAAATTCGTTAGTTTTATATTTAATACTTTTACATAATCTTTCATTTAAATTCGTTAGTTTTATATTTAATACTTTTACATGTTTTGATTGATTTTTTTAGGGGGCTAGTAAAATATTTATTCAGTAATAATGAAATATAGGTTCTAGTAAAACGTAGTATTCAATAATGAAAATAGAAAATTGAAAATTATATTTTTATAATTTCATTGGTCTATGAATTCAACTTCATGCATTTTATAACTTTTCTACTTATAAATAATATTTATTGGAATTGAAATAAAATGTACATTTGAAATATCTGTTACCATAATAATTTAGTTATTTACTTTTGAATAAGTATAAAAATGTCAATTTGTTAACAATATAAATTCTATTCATTTGTTTTGATGCTTTGTTTTTCCAGTAAATTGACTCTGAATCAAGAATGTTGTACAATTTTAACGAATCATCCAACAACGTTCTCTTCGTTCCTGATGCTGATGAACAAGCATCTCACAAACATTGAGCTGATAGTCCGCCTCTGTTTCATCATGGGTAACTTGACAGCCAGGAACGACGACTGTCGCTATTGTTTATTTAGTACAGAAAATGCGATGGAGACATTACTGTCGGTGTTCAGGACTTACTTTGAATTAGATATAGTGGTATGTATATTTATTCCTTTTTTTTTTTTGTTAATGGTCTCAAGTAATTTGACCCATTGTTTTCAATTTCTTACTGTAAGTTTGATTTAATACATGTGAAAGCAAATGAGATTCAATATCTCAAGATGTACATAGGTAAAGGCAGGTTTTCATAAAAATCACTACACGCTATCGCCGATTTCTTTGGCAACACTGATTGGTCAGTTAAATCTGGGAGCGTTCCTAATTGCGTCAGATACAGCTGTGCAGTGTAAGGATAGCAGTGAAAACGCTTTAGCGATTTTTATGGAAACCGGGATATAATTTTATGTGATCTACCTATATTGTATCAACTGCTTATCTAACATCTTTTTGTAAATTAGCAATCAATTTGCTTTGCAGAATCAAAGATCTGAGGAGAAAGTTAAAGGAAGTCCCAAGAAAAGTACAGAAATGACAAAAGGACAAAAGTATGAAGATTTATTCATCAAATTGATCCGAGTGATTGCAAATCTCTCAATCAACCAAGACATCGGGCCTCTGATTGCTTCTAATCCCAACTGCGTCGATCTTCTGTTGCAAATTTTAGGTAAGTTACTTAAGAAGTTGAGATGGTTCCAACTCTCCAATCCAATAGGAGCGTGTAATGTTTTGAACTTGTGATCGTGAGATTGAGACCGACGCTCATCGCATTGCTTTGTCAAAGTAATAATGTTATTGTCTGGAAGTGCTTAAAATGTTAAATATTTAAGATTGGTCACAGTGGACATACAACATTCACACTGATGCAGTTTAAAATAAGGGTTGTCATGCCAAAACCAGCATCAGAGACAAAAACATGAAACTTCAATATATTCATATTCTCCACATTCAAAGCTTTTAAAATGATTGGTCATTTATTGGAATCGATTTTCTATTGCCAAAGTTATAAGGAAAAGTATTGCAACTTTTCTGTACTAAAGTATACAATACTGCCACATTCTTGCGCTAATTAATCAGTTTCACATTTAGTAACAATACAGTGGTTTTGGGATGGTAGCCTCAATTAGCCTTAGTCAAAATTTGTTCAGTGTGAATGCAACCTTAGCCTCTGCATGCACAGTCGCCACTACCTCGTAACTGACCATTTTTCACAAGCAGGGTCAGTGTCCACATGGCTAGTTTTTAAATACTTAGGGTTCATACAGTAATTGTGCACAGCCCCACTGTCATCAAATGTGAAATTTTAATTATGTACACAACCTGACTTTGTTTTAGTGGATGAGCTGATGGTCACTCTTCTGGACTCTGGCAATAGGGAGATTGTTTACACTGCTTGTGGCGTACTCATTAACCTGATGACTGATAGCGTTAGACGTCCCATACTTAAATCTGAGGGCGGTATTCGCAAGTAAGTTTTGTATTACACTACAAATAATTTCAAGAGACTGATTTCATAAAAGGATATTTATAGTCTCTGTTAAGAAGGATGGCAAAAATATTATCTATTTAATGATATGAATTTAATATATAAAAGCAAAATACACAAAGCAATCTTGGGTCGAAACAAGTGGATCATCAATTATCACAATACACAATCTTCATCATCTTCATATTCATCATCATTATCATTATGATCATCATCAACACAATCAGCTTCATAATCATCATCATCAGCATTATTATCATATTCATATTTATCATCATAAGCAGCATCATGTTCATTATTACCATTGTCATTACCATCTTAATCATTATTAGCATCGTCACCATCACGTTCATCATCATCATCACCATCATCAGCATCATCATGTTCATTATCATATCAGCCTCATTTTCATCAGTATCATTATCATCATGTTCATTATTTCCATTGTCATCACCACATTAATCATTATCATCACCACCATTGTCTTCTTCATCATTACTATCGTCATTTTCATCTTCATCATCATCACCCATCACCATGAAATTCATCATTCAGTGCCAGCAGGGGGCCAGGGTCCCTGTCGGGGAGAGCTTACCCCCCCTTTTCCCCAGCGGCCCCGTCGAGGATATAAACCATAATTTGTGGATTAGATATTATTAGATTCCAAAATTGATTTAATAAGCCTTTGATACCCCTAAATTATATTTTGGGGCCTTCACCCCCTAGGACACTTACGAGAATTTTGATCCCAATTTTTTCCGTTCGGGGAATTTGGACCCTGTCGGACAAATCCCGGCACCACCACTGTCATCATTTGTTATCCATCATTATATTACTGTTTTTTTTAATAGGTTGATTGATGTGTCACATGACTTTGGACGTCATGATTGGCAGCTGGCTGGCATGGTGTGCATGATACTGTGTAACTACAGCGAGAAGATCACATGTTGTGCGGAATGTTTTGGAGAAGAAGAGACTGTTGATCTCATTGAACTGCTTGAGGATTATCTTGGTAAATTGCATTTAGATTTCTATTTTCATATGTTATTGTGATAGCCAACATAATTTAACCTTGTGGGTGCAAAGACAGTACATTTATAGACTGATGTGTGGAAATCATTATTTGAGCGCCTACTGTCTTAGTTTAGTTGATATTAAAAAAGTTGTTTGATCTCAAAAATGTATGACACCTCTACACCAAATTAGCTTCAGAAGTTCGCTCAGTATAGCCCAAATTGTGCTTTTAGACAAAAATATTAGGAATTGGCAATCAAAATAATGTTATTTGGATAGGCAAAATAATATTTTTTACCCGACGACCTCGTCGTGGTATCGGCCGACGGGGTGGGAGGGGGTGTCCAGGCCTGTTCCATGTTGGGGCCACCATGGCATGAATTTTATGTGTTTATAACTGATCTTTTCTATAAATACTTAAACAAATTTTTTTGAAGATGAAGAAACACCTCAAGAAGCTCCAGATGGCACTGACTGGGACGCAGACACCATTGAGGTTATGAAATCATACTGGCGGACGGAATTCTACCCTGTAGCCACCCAGCTATTGAATCGAATTGAGAACCATAACTCAGATCTTGTGCCACTGGTTGCACCAAGTTGAGAATCGCCCCCTGACCTCAAATTATTCCAAACATAAGCACAGCTTGTCATGTGATTGCACATTTCAAACACAGGTTTTTGTGGTGTGACTGCCAGATGTGTAAACAGGACCAAATTTTAGATATCATTTGTGTTATTATTTTTCTTAAGCCCTGTCCAGACTATCAAATTTTATTTGACAAAAACATGTGACATGCCTAAATATGGTCATGATGACATCACATCATGACCATATATAGGCACATCATGACTATATATGGGCACACAACAGTTTCTTGTCAAAGAAAATTTGATACTCTGGACCGAGATTCAGACTTGAATACTGTAGAGGATTGTTATGGCTTCCAACAAACATGGAGGCTGTTTGATCAGACACAGTTTAATTGTCTGATGAGTAATATATAGTATAATGTACATTTGTTGTACACCAGTATAATACATCCATGTGAGGCTCATGCAACATTTATTTTGGCACCATGCGGCTGCCCAGGGGCAAAACAATGTAACTTACATTTTTGTCGATTTTGAGATGATATATAATTTGAGAGTGCTGAATTCACTCCTGAATTACCTGTGAAAACTTGAGGTCTCAACAGTGAGTTATTTTGGAGACAGTACCACCTATCTTTAAGAACAAAACTTAAAATCCAGTGATTTTCTGTAACTGCAAGATTACGGGGCAAAACAACGTATTTACAATGTAGATACATTTTTTTATGTCTTGGAATGGTATTCAAAAATTATTTTGAGCTGATGGAGTTTGGCAAGGCAAAATCAACTGGTTAATGGTGTTTTCATATCAATAATCTTAACAGCGACGTGTGAACAAGCTATAGATAATGCATGTTATTGCCCCAAACATGATAAATTCCAAAAATATGTCACACTTGCAACAATACCAAACCTGACATGTTTCCGAGGCAAAGCAACGTATCTGTGAATATTGCTAATAACTTTGCAATAAACAAACGGTTGTAATTAAAATTTTACATATAATCACAATGTCTATAGATATACAAGCCTGCAAAATTTCAAAAAGGTGCGACAGTTTATAACCAAGTTGCAAACATGCACAATTTAACTGTATTTTTCTCCAAAAGTGAATATTTTGAGTTAAGTTGTTTTGCCACGGAATGGCTGCCTGGCCCCTGGGTACCCAGGGCAACTTCGCAGAACAAGTACCAATACGTTACAGGATACATTTTCACATATGAAGGGGTCTTATACTAGGGAACAGTTCACTGTTTCATGCTTATACCGACAAAAATCTGAAAGATGTGTTTAAAGCCCAGGCTTTAGTTAAAATTTAAAAAAAATATGTCTTGAATGATTTAGTTTTCCAGACGTGGTGATTAACTAACAAAAATTGTCACAGTATGGAGTCAATCATAAAACACTGCTTTAAAAATGAGATGCATGAAGTCTAGACTAACAAGGTCCAGATCCATGCAAGCAGCTCATTTCACAAACAATTAGAGATGCTTTTTTAACGAGATGTTGACACAATCAAACCCTTATAAAAGCCTTGATTAAATACTTGTTCCATTCCTGAACTAAAATATACCTTGTACAAATTATAAATCAGCCTTGGAAACCTGCATTTTAGACACTTGCCATTTGATAATATATTATTATTGATGTATTATGAATTTATTGTACAATAAGCAAACTATTATCATTGTAAACCATACATGCTAGAGGAATGTTAGATTAATTCACAAAAAACATTCATTTAGAGCCTTTTAATGCCCGAAGGTAATTAATTGTGAATGCATTAATCTCACCTATTATGTGAAATAATTTGATCTAGTGTATAGATTACACGTATAATAATTGCTTTCAGGTCAATCACATTCCCTTTTTAATGAGCTGGTGCATCTTTTCTCCTTGGTTTCTATAGAATTTTTTCGGTCAAGACTGAAGCAAATTGTTTAAGTTATGTAAGTTTTTCTGCTTGCTCCCATGTATGTAAAAACAAAGCCATCACTTGGAAATGCAAGCGCTGCTGAGTTTTTTTTAGTAGGCCTAGGCAGGGGGCTTAATCAGTTTAGCAGTGTCATAGATAGTTGTATCAAACAGGTTTGCTCTATTTTCACCTGAACTGAAAATCAAACCGTTAATTAAGAAAAATTATTGGACGTTTGTGGATAGGGAAAAAGAGGTAAATTCAGTGACATCACATTTGACATATAATACACATCAAGTAGGCTCCGCTGGGGGAGAAAAAAAAATATATTGTACAACTGATTTTTTGAAGACACGAAAAGAGTGTTTGAAGAAAAACTTGAGAACAATAATACAAATTTTTGAGTATTTAGATTTTTTTGGTCGTGGAAAAATTTTAAATTGCAATATGATAAATTTCATAACACCTTGAATATTTTAGTCATTCCTTTGTCCTATTATCAACAATAAGTTGAATAATGAGATAAATTCTTGTTTTCATATATTTAACTACATTTATTAAATTGAGTTGAAAGTTGTTATGTAAATAGTCTGTTTTTAATTTTATGGTTTTTTTTGTACAATATTTTGAAGTATGTGATTAAGCAATGTGTTTGAAGAAATGTACAAGTGGATTTTATTTTTTTTTATTGTGCTTACAAAAGTACTGTGTGAATGTTAGTTGTAGTGGTTTTTGCTTGTAAATAAAACAATATATTTAGTTTGAGAGTATTATATAAAAAAAAAAAGGCCAAAGACTAGAATTTGTTGAATTTTAAATTTTACTATAATATACCACGAAGTGTAATACCACGGAGAAAAATAATTTCTTCCTTCGTATCACTTTCAAAATCCTTCTGAGATTTTTTGTTTTTAGTAATAGGCCTACGATACCGAGTTTGATGTACGTTTATCACTTTACCTCATTTCACCCCATAGGCTATAAATATTTTTTCCGAATACCCAAGTTTTCACGAATATCCAGAGTTTTGACACAAAATACCCGATTTTTCACGAGTATTCGAGTGACTTTTTTATTTAACGGTTAAATTATGTAAATTTTGGATTTTGTTAAGAGAACAAAATGTGTTTGAAAACCAGAAGTGATGTACAGGAACAATATGTCACAAGTCTGCGAAATGCACATTGTGCGTGGTCTGAATAAAGTATATAAAAACAATTTTTCAATGACTGCTTATTTGTGAAATATATGTACAGTAAAACCAAGGTGACACATTCGGGAAAAAGTGTGCCCTTAATAGTTGTGTCCCCTGAATAGGCCGTAGTGTTAAAAAAATAATACTTTATTCATTTCCTTGTTTTAAGTACTGTGCAGTAACACGATAAGAAAGTATAATACATACTCCAAGTATTGAAATACACGCCATCGTGTTGGGATTCAATATTTCGACATTAATTATGTCATCATCAGGAATGATTACACATTACAGGTTATTGTGTGCTTATCGCAGATGTTAACTGATGATTGAAAATGAAGAATAAATGATAAGTATGTGAGTCAATAGACTATTCACTCCAAACAACACTCCTGTAAAATACAACCTTTAGTACTTGGGAACTTATATTCGTACCGTTAATAATTGGCCAGAATTTTAATAGTGCTCACATTTTTAGAGCTTGTGGTGTCACTCCAAAACCGTCAATAGACTTCTACTGGACATTGAATTGTATGGAACTATTGCATGTGAGCATGTTTGGAGCAGTTCAGATGTTGTGACGGTAGTGTTGGTCACTTAAGCCAGTTGGTCTGCTGCCCTCTATAATGCTTTTTAGCTTCTTCTAAAGCAAGTCTTCAAATCTCCAAAAATGTCTTAATTATTATCAGTGGAAGTGGTAATAAACCAACGTGTAGAAAATTTACCTTAATGATAATTCAGTAACTTTCACATCGATATGCATAAAGGTTATATATTTTCTGAAGGTAAAATTGTTATAACTTTTAGTATGTCATATATAGTGCCACTGAACATTGTATCTGCCGTGGATATTGGCGCTTTACAAGCTGTTAATTGGTTGATTGATTGATTGATTACTATTTAAAAGCTCTGGTTCTTAATTAATCTGTATGAAGGGCCACATTATATTTATAATTGATCTCATTCGCCAGAAAAAAAAAAATCTCCGCCGAGCAAGCAATCATTTTTCTATGTGAAACTCTTTCCGCTAAGATAGATATATTTGAAAAGGGCTTCTTTGGTAATTTCAGTTTGTACTTTTAATTGTACGACACTAGCGGTCAGGTTAGGTCATGCCCCAAAATTGGGTCGCAGAAAATTTTGGGACCGGAAACGTGTTTAACAGTCGTTAGTCAACTTTGGTTGGCCGCTTTATCAATGTAATTGATCGCAGTACAAAAGCCTACGCTTAGAGTCTAGACATTTTTTGCAAAATACAAAAAAAAAAGAAAAAAACTTTTTCCATATGTACACAGCATGTTGGCCTATTGAAATGTATTCTTATGAGCACTGTCTGTTGGTACACCAACTTGTTATTCTCCCTGTAAAGGAAAAGAATACTATTAACGAATCATAGTTAGCAGAACAAAACACAGAGTTGGAACTTGGTGACACAAACGTCGGTGTCAAGTCATACAGCTGTACTGTATGACTTGAAAAGAAGACTATACGAAACACATTGATCAGAACAAAACACAGACAGCTTGGCGGCACACAGAAAGCCATATGACTTATGTAGGACAATCGAAATGTATTTTTACTCTTTAGTTCACCATGTGAAATTAAGTACGCCTACGAATGTTATTCACGATAAAACCAAGTAGACGTATTGCAAAATAACCTAAGTTGTGTTTACCTTTGACTTATGGGTCTCAAATCATGCATCAGGGCAGCTAGGCGTAGGGGCTCGGGGCCGCGGTTTTGCCACTAGATTTTAAAATATGAATGCATATCAATGTAATGTATTTAAATTAGCGCTACCCACTAATCTATTCTGAAAATGTTGTGCCCTTCCCCCCCGTTTGAACAATTGTGGATCAGCCCCTGCATCAAGACTCTGCAATCATTGCAACTTCAACATGTCTATGATGAAGTTTTTAGTGTTCCTGATCTGCTATGTTTAATTTAGTTGAGCTAATAAGAATAACACTCGTTTGAGGTCTTTGATGTTAGGTTAAAACCCTGCATCATAATAGTTTTTTTTGTTTTTGTTTTTTGTTTTTTAAGCACAGTGCAGAATATGACCACGGAAGGCACCAAGTCATCGATATTTGCCAATATTTGGCCTATGTTACCAAACTTTATTATTTAAATATTTTTATTTTAGAATATTTTTATATTTTGTTTTCCTCGC